GATGATGATGATGATGATGATGATGATGATGATGATGATGATGATGATGATGATGCTTAAGATTGCCTAAGTGTTTCTTCCGTGGCTGTGCTTCATTCCTTGTGACCCTAACGAAGGAAAAAATAACAATGAGCATCAAACAAACATCTGCCGTAAAATGCTTTGAGAGACCATATTACATACTTTTTGTGTACAGTAATTATATGAGTTTGCATTTTAACAGGGAGACCCCAACCAATGGGTTTTGGTCTATTTCCCTGCTTCCAGTGGTCTTTGGGAGGTCTCCCGATTTTGATACACATGCATATGCTCACCATGAGGATTGACGACAACAAAGGCTTTGGCTCACCTCCAGCTTCACAACAGCTCTAGAATGATTCCGGATAGCGGTCTTCGTCTTGCTAAGCTACGACTCATTCACTTCGTCGCTCCCAAAATAGCGATCGTCTTTTGCGAAGCTGTGGAGATCCAAGCCGCGGCGTGAATGAGATTCTCGTTGAGCCGGTTCATGCGCTGCACTTGCCTCGCCAGCGCCACGAATGGGTTGTGGGAAATGACAGTTGAGCCACGGAGCGCAAATTGAGCAATTCTTTGGAGGGGGTTCGAAGATATATAGATGGAGTATATGGCAGCCCCTTCCCAGGAGGTGGTTTGAATCCAGGGCCTATCTAACCGGAAGGATGAACCCGTCGACCTCTGTCTTGGTGTGGAGCCCTTTGGTCTTACTGGTGCCAAAGGATCAAAGGCCAAGAATTGAACCCCCTGAGGCTTAGGAGCTCCATCCGGTCATTGAACATCCCAAACCGGTCGCGGATGAACGCCCTGGCCACACATCAAAGGATAAACAATTTGTTGTCCATCCATGTGCCAAGTCATGAGAACAAAATAATCCCTCCGCAGCGGCTCTCTGCATCTCAGCTCTGAGCATGTGCAGTTTCTCCTTCTTTGCAATCTTCTCCTATAAAAGCTGGGCGAAAACCAGCAGGCGTTGCTGGACAAGCATCTGAACCACAGAAGGTAAGGGCAAATGTACATAGTATATATTACACGATATTACATCGATTTACATTGGATCAAAGGCCAAGCTCAGATGTTATCAGGTCTGCAATTACTCTTAGACTTTGAGGTGCTGCTGGCTTGTGCATCATGCCCCTCCCACACGACACGACCACGTCCTGCAGCTTTTCGGTGGTTTGCGCATGCTGCTTCTCCACCTGGGGCGTCCAATCGGGGCGAGAGGCAGTGCCCATCATTGCCCATCATCAACAACATGATGTCATGACGTCATGATGCCCCAAAGAGCCTAGAAACAAGAGCAAAAGTGATGCAACATCCCTAAAGGGCAAGGGCTTCGAGCAACCACGTTCCGTAAATGACCGTGGACTCTTGGACGGGTCACCTGGAACAAATATATAACAAACATATCCAGGTTTGGACTTCTGTCCCTACTCTCTGCATCATACCCAACATGAACCCCCGGGGTTGGAATGGGGCCCTTGGGTCCTTCTGATTGGCCCACCTACACACGCGAAGCTGCTCTGACGGGAGGAATCTCGGCTCAGGAATGACCTCGACCTTTGACTGAGGATGTCTGGGGATATAGAAACGAGTATGCGTCCATCACAGGAACGAAACACAATATATAATAGACTCAAAATAAAGTTGGTTCATTTGTGTTTTACATTGGGTATCAGTAATTATTGCGGTTTAAACCACTAGAAGCAAGGGAGGGTCCACTAGCTACATAAACTTGGTTCTGCAATTGCTCACGCCCAAGGAAAAAACACAAGGCTGGCTGCATACAAAATGAGGGTGGTTCCACGGAGCCGTGTTTCTACATGATCCGATCCCCACACGGAGGCCGGGTTTGATCCCCGCGAGCTGATGGAAGCTCCAGGCGGCCGGTGTGCCTGGTGGTGTGGACATGGACATGACACCGGTCACCTGTCACCGGTCACCTGTCCAAGTGGCCATTGAGAGGATGCGCTTTTCCGCCTGCAACTCCGACTCCAAGGCCTCGGCAGCGGAGGCACTCTGAAGATCCAGCTCGGACTGGACGGACTGGACGTCCAACAAAGGCGCTCATGAGGTTTCATTGAATTGGATTTCGCCAGAATCCTCAACCAGAATTGGCCAACAGCTGAGCTTGAATCACAGGTCAAAAGCGCGTAACACACGTTCTTGATTTTCGAACTTCAAATCCATGCCGCACAAAGTGTCAATCCACCAGCTGCATAATTCCTTAGCAATGTCAGCCTGGGCCTTCAGCCATGCAAGCCAGACCTGAAAATTACACCATCAACATCACTTTGTGGCGATCTTGACTACGACATGATCGATGCTCCTCCAGGTCCTTCACACAGTCGCTCCGCTGGCGTGACGCAAGCCGCGTGAGTCATTTTTTGAGGTTGCTGCTCTCAGCTCACCAGCGGGAGTTGCGGTCGCCAGGGCCTGCCACCAGTCTTTTCTTTGCACCCACCAGACCTGTTAAAACATATAACTTACACATAGATATGTTTTTGTCATTTGATGTCTTTTGTGATTGGGATTGATGTATGCTGGTGAATATTGTTTGTCTTATTTGGATTGATCATCTCAGGTGAATGTTGAACTGATTCCTTGGCATCACCCAGCGACGTTTGGCAAGTTCGCCAGCTACGATGGGGCCCCGGGGCCTACGTGAGCGGCGGCCTGCTGCGATGCCTTACCATGCCTGGCCTCTGCTACATTGGCGATGATGAGCACCACAAGGGCCAACATCGCCTCGGATGCAGCTTGGACGCCAACAGCTGCAAAAAGAACTACCAGTAGTGACCATTGACACAAATACCTTGTCCTGTCTTAGCCTCCAAAATGAACGAGCCCAAAATTGTTGGGGTGGTGCAGGAGTCTTGATCGAGAGCAAGTGACCCTTTGGATTGATGTCCGGTAGGTGGCTAAATGTCCACACGCGTGACTTCGCCCTCCTATGAATATCTCGGCAGCTTTTTGCAAACAAGGCACGCGCGGGTTTCTGGTCATGGCGGGCCAGCCAACTCTACAATTAATTGCTCTCTTTCTTGGTTTGCATGATATGGTTTTCTGATTGCTGGTTTGACCATTTTGGCTGCTGCAGCTCTTGGTGGCCTCTGCCAAAAACAAGGTAGGCATCCAAGTACTGCCAATATAGCAACATATCCACTCAAAACAATCAACACATTCCCGGCCCGCAACCAAAAAGTGGCTTCGGAGGGCAAGCAGGATGCTGATACCTGAAACATAGGTAGCTCCTCAGCATTGATTTCCATGTTCGCCTGAAATCCCATCAGCCCAACAATCAAGACCCAAGGCCCTGAATCAATTCTACAAAGGGTCGCAGTTGATCCTATCGGGTTAAAGATTCTGGCTAACCTTAAAATTAGACCGTGTTCAAGAAGCTCCAGGGTTAGGAGGCATATGGAGGCATCAGTCAAGATGCAGATCAACAAACGATCCCTCACAGTTTTTATACTTCATGACGATTCATGTGCTTAAAACTCGGATGTAGGGGAAGAACCCCTCCCGAAGACTCCTGTTGATTTCAGAACTCCAGAAACCCCGCAGCCCTCAAAAAAATGTGGGTCGCGGGGCACACCGGGTTTCAATGAGTTGCCTCGGTAAAACCTAGAATGACAAGATTCAAACATGCTTCAAACAAGTGCAACTCGCTGGAGAACACCAAGCTAGATAGATGAACTAAATGGATGTCCGTCTTAACTTGGTATGATGGACCCATACCCTTAAATGCGTTCGACGTGGAAGGCAAAATGGCAAACAACCTCATCCAAAAGGCCTTACAGGCACGAGCCATGATCTGCCGTCGCTCTCTGATGATCCGCCGCTCGATGTTTGCCGAACAGCTCACCGAAGTTGTGCAAATAAGTGGGAAGCCGCAACCCTCTCGGTTCGCGTGGTCCGAACTCGTCCTTCCCCACAAGCCCCTTCTGAGGTAGAGGACAACCAGTGAAACCGAGGTCCTGATAAAAGTGCTGGACCGTTCGGGCATGATCGGCCCCAGTATACATGATGATCACCACCTCAGATCCTTCAGGAAAGGCCAAAGCACGATCCATGACAATGAGGATGGATGCTAGGTCAACCATGCGCAGTTGGAAAGCATCAACGATAATCTTCGCCAATACACGTTGCCTGCGAGTAGTTGGGCCAGAGCTTGGATCATAAGACAAGATTTCTTGCATCGCTTCATCAAAGAAAGGTATCCGGATCCCACTCAAATTGCGTGACTGAGTCCGCATGGACAAGCTGGGCATCTCCTTCACTCTCCGCAGCAAATTGGGATTGTTCACATCGATATCCTCGAAAATGTCACGATGAGCCTCGCGAAGCCACGCAACGAAGTAGTCACCCTCGGGGTCCTTCTCCTTGACATCCTTGGAAGATCTTGGAAGTGAGCTGGAAAAAGGTTTAACAGTTTAACTGGATGGGGGGTCCCTCTAATCGGAAAACAACATGTTGTAAGAAGAGCACAAAGCACACCTAGCATCTTCCAAGAGATTCTCCGTGACTTGCAAGTACCATTGCTGTGCCTTTTCCACCAGCTCCGGTGCCTTCCATCTCACGCGTTCGGCCAGGGCAGAGACCCAGGTCCTGGGTGCCCCGGGCGTCTTCGCTTTGAGATATCGATCCACCGGCGCCACGGACACCGGCACCAGGTGCCGCACGTCCTGTCGCCGCACCAACGACCGGTGACCGCGGCCGCGCGGGCCGGGCGGGCGGTGCACCGCGGAGCGAAGCCGCAGGAAGGCACGTGCCGTGGGATCGGAGCGAAGCATGGCGAGGGCATCGGCGATCACACCGCAGTAGAGATGTTCAAAGAATTTCAGCACCCAATCCTTGGGTCGTGTTGGAGCCTCCGGAGTTTTCATGACACAAGCCAGAAAAGGTACAAAATCAGCACGGACATGCGGAGAGAAATACAGCAACTCCGATGCAGCACCAAAGAATGCTTCCCATGAAGGCACCACATGGCGCACATGTACGCCACATGATCCATGCCGACCCGTTTTGACACGAGGTGCTGGTAACTGCAGCTCCTCCAACCACTCTTCTTCAAGATCCATGAGCTGACCGTCCGGCACAAGGCATTGGAACTCCTTTTTCACTTCGTCGTCATCCGGGTTGCCGAGCTCCCTCAACTCGAAGAAATGGACGCGCTCTGAAGGGAGGTTGTCCCTCACACGCCGTACTAAGTACTGCAGGAAGGCACCAGTGCCATCCTCCGCCAAAAATCGAAGTGATCTCATGTCCTGGTCTAAGAGAGTTGCAAATTCCTCTCCACTATCCAGTTCCATAGCTTGACAACTTTCATCAGCAATGGGAGCTGGGGCCGTGTCTGGATCCTCATGCAGCTCAACCTCAGTTGACCGGACGGGACCTTCCAAAATGATTTCCACGTGCGGCAAACGTCCAGCTCTAATCAACCAGTCATCGAAGAGTTCCACACCCTCCATGCGCAGCCGCTTCTTGCGGCGGGCAATGATGGAATCGTGTTCCTCAGGCAGGACCTCGATTCCTTTCGCCTTCTTGTCGTGAATATACCTGGCATCTGGATCCAAGTCTTTCCAAAGAAAATACTGAGTGTTCTCCTCTTGCTCTCCAGGCTTCACCTCAATCTCCTGTGGCATAAAGACCTTAGCTGTCCCAACACCATTCACAGAGTCCACCATGTGGAAGAGCAGAAGAACTCCGTCATTCTCAGACGTCATGGCATGAGACGCCCACTTCTTGGCGACTTGCAGGGTCACATTGCTCCTGCTGTGCCTCATCTTCCGTAGAAGAAAGGCATCGCTGGTGTCGACCCAACCCATCGTCGGTTCAAGGATGCTTTTGGTACGAGTCAGGTCCACCGCGTCCTCATGGGCTTCCCCACAAAGAACTAGGGCCACCTCGCGCCCACACAGGTTGCCACGCAGGGTCTGAATGGAGCTGGGCCCTGCAGTGCGAGCCGGAGCTGGAGCGCTTGGAGCTGGACACCAATTGGTGCAAGCCGGAGCCGTCTCACCACAACGCTGCCCGTGCCCATTGGCGTAAATGGCCCTGATTGTGGGCATTGCAGGGCACACACACACACACATTGACATTGAACTGTTTCTGCATGTTTCTGCATGCGATCTTCGGCTGGCTTGTATCTGTGCTATGTCTTTGCACGACTTCTTAACGGCTGAAAATTAAGGATGCCTAGGGGCAAAGGCAAACTGGTTCGATCGTGCCTGACATAAACTTTGATTACACTGCCTTTAATTCTGACCTTTGGGGAGAGTGACCTGGTGCAAAATTGTACATATAGATTAAATTTGGTCCTGTAGCTGCTCCAGAAAAACTCCACACAAAACATTCATGGCGCATCATGGAATCCCATCCGGGCAAGAATGTCCGGCTGCCATTGGTCTCCAGAACATGGGCAAAGTGACAAAGACAAAGCGACCTGTGCGCTAGAAATATGAGAAACCACCAGGCCGGCACAGTTTTTGCAAGAAACTGTGATTTATTGGCCTGTTCACGACTCAAACTTGAGCAACCTCAAGTATATCATAAAAATATATCTAATTAGGTTGGTCCAATGGGGCTCCTCGAGCCGCATGCTACAAAAGAAGACTGCCGCCGCCTCAAGGTTCTGGAACTTCCCCTCAAGACCTGACACTCCAATGAAATGTGTTCCCCTTCGAGGTCCTGTCCTCATGAGTGAACGGGACCTGCAAGTATCGCCCTACACCGGGACCTGCGGTGGTTGATGTGGCTGTATACACGTCTCAAGCGTTGAACCTCCACCATTGTGGTGCCAACATTGCTTCAAATCGAAGCTGACTCCCGAAGGCTCGAACGCCATTCAGCCGCATCCTGCCCTCGGTGGTCTGTCAAGTGAATGTCAACCTGAGATCCGCTCCGTCGAATGAGGTTCGGCGCGAATGGAAAACAGTTATAGACCATGTCCAAAGCATTTCGGGCCGACCTGTGCGATTCTAATTTTAAGTCAAGGCTGCTCCAGTGGCTGCTCCTTCACCGTGACAAACACATATTTTTCAGCCATGTTATAGCTATACTTCTCGAGTCATTTCCACATTATGAGATGCACAAACCATGAGATGCACAGTTCCCATTGCAGCCATCTTGTCCAAGGAGCTGGGTGCTATGCGCTCTTGGCATACCTAGTGTTCTTCTGAGGTGCGAGCTTCCCAGGTCGCTTCCTTCAAAGCTAGACCTGAGCTTTCACCTCGTGCCTTCACCCGAGCTGTCTAAGTGCCGGAGTGCCGAAACGTGTCGAATCTGTGACTCTTAGATGAGCACAGACCTGTTTGAAGACCTACCCCGAAGCAATCATGGAAGTGAAAACGAGGTTTCGACGTTTCGGAACGCCTTTTCACCTTGAGCCAAAACACGTCATGAGTCACGTGTCTGCAGTACTCTAGCGGAGTATTTATGGGCTGTACATGCAAACACTCCTCCTCTTACAAAGCACTGTACTGCTGCGCAAGCTTAAAGAAAGTATGTGAAATTTCCCGCTGCTGAGCCACTTTCAGTTGTGGTAGTGGAGCTTGGCCAGGGACCTTACTCCAAAACATCCAACTGTCCTTTGCTTCGCTTGCTGAGGAATGCATACTGCAAGTCCTCCATGGTTTTGCGAAGTTGCACCCCAGGAACCGATTTGGTCAACACATCGGCTTTGTTCTTGACACCTGGAACGTGGTGCGCTTTCAAGTGGCCTTCGGCAATCCTTTCTTGCAACCATAGGTAGCGAGTTTGGATGTGTCTGGCTTTACCCAAACCCACTCGGTTCACAGTTCCTTTGGCTGCGTTGGAATCGCCTTCTATGGTGACTTCCAAATCCAAACCAAGATCTGCGCACAGGCTTTGAAGTCCTAAGCCCACAGATCCGCCCTTCACGAGTGCGTAGTATTCCCTCTCGCCTGTGGAAAGGGCTATGGTGGATTGGATGTTACTGCTGTGTTTCAGCACGTGTGTGCCATAAATGGCAACCATGCCAGTCGTGCTTTTGCGTGTCACAGCATCTCCACCGTGGTCAGCGTCGACCTGGACCCTCAGCTTTGAGGGTACCTGCTGTGAGCCAAAACATTGCCCAACATCAGGGTATTTCTTCAAGTACCTGATGAGACGTTTCAAGTCTGCAAGTTTGGCTTCTGTCGGCGACACCATACCTCGAGCAAGGTTCTTGACTGCGTGTCCAATATCGAGTCGATCTTGGGACAGATACGCAGCACGCATCGTAGCTGAACGATACTTCGATGCCTCGCTCTTATCAAGCAGCGGACTGCGGCTTTCCAGCATCTGCTGATCTGCCGACTTCTTGACATCTGGTGATTCCACACCATTTGCCTTTCCCAGACCAAATGCCTGGATTAAAAGATCAACATGTCTCCGATCGGCTTCGATCACAATCGATCCTTTGCCGTTCTTCTTTTCGACTCGGATCAACCGATTCAGAAAATGGGCTTCTGTTCGGTCTCCATCCTCGTCTCCAAGAATCCCGAGACATTTCAGCTCATAGGCATCTTTGAGGACTTGGCTGAGCTTCTCCAAGTGTTGGGCGTCTCCAAGTGCTAGGAAGTCATCTCCATGCACCATTACCCTGACGTCACAAGCTTCTTGGTAGAAGACTGACGCATTTGACAGCCCTCTGCGGAAACCAGCCTTCTGGTACAGTGCGTCTGCCAGATATTTGGAGCGTCCTGTGTCCCGTACAACGAGAAGTCCACAGGTCTGTCCATCTTTGCTGGCTTCGTCCTCAGGTGGCAGCTCTATGTAGATCTTTCTCTTCGGAGTTCCATAAAACTGTGCTCGTGAGATGTCCCACAAGCCCAGCTTCAGCGGCTGGTTGTGGCAAGACTTTCTCTTTGTTGCCCACAACGAGCACAGCAGTCTCATCGCCTCTAGTGGGGGCGTGCTGCTGAAAAGCAAGTTGGCTGGCAATTGTTCTTCTTTGGTCTTTCTTGCCTTGATCTCACGCACAACTAATCGGCTCCTGTAGTTTGGGTTTGTTGGATCTCCCTTGTTGGTGTCCAACCACCTCACTGGAATCGGGGGCTTCCCCGTTTCCTCAAAACATTCAGCTCTTGGTCTTGTCACATAGACGCCATGCTTCTCTTTCAAATAATCCATTTCGAGGCGTCTTGCCTCTTTCACTTTCTCGGCCGGCAAAATGCCGCCGTTCACATCATCCATGTAGACCTCTTCGAACTCTGGGTCCAACAGAGGTATCTCTGGACCTGGGCCTGCTGCGAACAGATCGAAGGTGTTCAACTCACCTTTCTCTGCTAGCGTGTCACGCAGGCTCCTCAGCACTGCTTTCACGAGCTGCGGTGGGTATACCGCTGCCTGCCTAGCAATGCCTCCGATCAGGTGGATGTGTCGGTGCCATGGTCCTTTGCCCGATTCATTCGAGCAGACTCCTTGCAAGACTCGAGCCAACCCTGCATCGTTGGTCATCCAGCCGGTCTCCTTTCTCACATAGCCGGTGCCTTGGAGTCCTCTTCGGTCGGTGGCCATCATCTGCCACCTGCACATTGGACCTTTCACTACAAACACTCCATCTTCGTTTGCTAAGGCCTCAACCTTCTCATCCTTCCAATTGGTTGCGGCCCATGGTGCCTCGTGCAGGAATTTTCGTCCAGAGCGATGCTGCTTGACATACAGCTCTACGCTCGTATGAAGGTGATGGACGGCTTCGTCCATTTTCTTCTTCCTGACATCCGGTGCCATGTTTCTCCAGTTCAGGTTCTGGAGCTGCGAAAACATATGGCACGGAGGCGAACCAGTCAAGAGAGCCGGTTCGTCTCTCTCTAAGATGTCGTGCACCTCTTGGACGTCTTCGGACTTGTTCAAGTCCCAGTATGTTCCATCTTTCTTCATTTCATTCAAGTCGACCGCGAAACCCGGTCGCAACTTGTACCGCTCTGCAAGCGCGGTGAACCTCTTGGGCGAGTAGATTTCCAGAATATCTACTGCTGACATCTGCATGCTCAAATGCGCGATGTCTCCGATCTCTTGCTCAGTGATCTCGATGCCATTTGCCTCATAGGTTCCTTGAATGATCTTCTTCAGATGCTGCTTTGCGATCTCCTTTTCTTTCGCCAAGCTTGCTGCATCTGGCTTCCACCCTGCAGGTGGTGTCTCTGGAACATGTGAAAACGTCCCCGTTTTCTTCGGACTTTCTTCCACCCTGGGATCAAGGTCTTCTACGGCAGTCTCTGCCGTCCTCTTTGTTCCTTGGGCTGGATTCGGCTTGACCTTTGCCCCGGGTGGATCTATCCTAAGTTCTCCTGTTCTCTTCTTGGGCTCTGTTGCTACCTTGGCTTTCGCCACTGGTTTCTTCTCCATCTCGGCTGCTTGTCTCTTCATCTCATATCTCTCTTTCGGGTCATCGGGATAGGTCTTCTCACCCTCTGCCGCTGTTGGCGGCGGGCTTCCCGATCCTGCGCTCTTTGCTTCTTCTTTCTTCTCTGGCTCTCCGGCCGCATCTTCGGCCGCGATGTCTGTGTCCTTGTCGGACACGACTTTCGGCTTCACAGTGTCAAGCTGTTGCCGTTCTTTCCTCTTCTTTGCATGGGCTTCAAGTCTCGCCTGCCCAGCTTCATCCTTTTCCATTGCTTCGGTGATCCTTGATTGCTCTGCACGCCTCTGTGTGTGGCAAGGTCGTCCTCTTGTCTTCCAAGATGCACTTGCATCCTGGGCAGCCTTCTGTGGCCCCATGCTTGTGCACATCCTCTCTCCTGATGTACACTCGCCTCTGCTGTGGTGGTGCCACTCGTTCCTCTTTAAGAGTGGTACCACAAGACGCTCTTCGAGCATCAACTGCTCACCGGCAGGCCTTGCCGCGGAGTGTTCCCACGGTAAGCCCCGCAAAAGGTCCCAACCACTTGGGTCCCAGCGGTCGGCTGAACTCAGCCGCCGGATTCCTGTGCCTCTGCGCACGCCATCGGCCATCATCACCAAAATGGATCCTGTTCGGCCGTGGTGCCCTACATAGCGTCCTTCTTTCAGGATGCGAACTCCCTCGCCTACTTCTCTAAAGTATAGGCGTTCACCAAAAGCTATGGCGGGTTT